TGCTCTGCCCCAGGTGTCCCCAGTCAGCCACTGCTAAAACTGACCAGCGGCTGACTCGGAGAAGCCCGGGGAAGAGCAGCTCCAATTGTCCGGCTTCCTGGAGCACTTTCAGATTCCAGGTGGTGCCGGACTATCAGGAGTGCCTGACCACTGGATGCTGGGCAACTGGAGTTTTACTGTATCATGGAACTACAGGAAATTTCACTATGAATAGAGAATTTTCTTTAATATTGATAAATTTATCCAAAATACAGAAATGACCAAACTGTATCTGATCATTGTGCTTATGAGTGAGCTGCAGAACACATTTAATGATGCACGTGTCCTGCCTTAAAAAAATAACAGTTTTTCACCTGAAGAGATGGGCAAGGCATAGCACCTCCTACAGGTATAATGAACTTTATTGGAACAATCTGTGTCTCTCCATGGTTGAAGTCCACAAGTGCTTCGAAGGAACTGATAGTCTTTATCACAGTCCCTAGAAAACAAATATGAATACATTCTGTATTAACATTATTTAAAAGTATGTTTACCATTACGTAAAAATACTAAAAATCCTGTCCCTATACTTCCCACAGTAGAATCTATCATATTTGCACCATGTACATTGTACTATATAAGACAGGCACAAAAAGAAAGCCTCCCCCCAAAAATAACTTATAAAGCCTGTGTTCTGCAAAATAATTATGTAAAAAAGAAAAAAAATCAGGAAACCTAGCTGCAGATCATTCAAGAAACCCAAAACTATCAAAACCTGCTGGCAGCCATTCAATTCAAAAAGAAAAAAATTGATTCAGCAACAATTCCACAATCCATTAAATTTCAACTCTAGGATAAACCATGAGACCAGGACCCACAATGTGCATACTACATAACACTGCAACATCATAGATATATCCAGAGTACCTCTTTCTGGAGCTGAACTATTTGTACTCTCCAAGGAATTGAAGTTCTGCTCCACCTCAGAACCTGATATAAATATTAACATGTGAAGAACTTGAAGGATTCATTCACTGACTTCACTTCTAAGAATTTTTTTTTACATAAGCCAGGATACCACCACCAACAACCTCTACCTCCCCACCAAGAGTCATGACAAAAAAAAAGAATAATCTGACTGGACACCTCACAATGGATGAAACCACACATAGATCATTACTTTGATTGCTTCTGGAAAAACAGCTGATTGTGAAATCCACCACAATTGTTCCACCACCAAGATGATAGCTACACAGTCCCTGATACTCCACCACCAGATAGCGATGAAATCAGCAAACAGAGTTTTCAGTGTAGTTCTCAACTTGATTAATACATCAACAAAACCAATGGACAGCTCTCTGACAACACATACTATAAAGAACTCAAAGAAGACCCCACACCATCACAATTTGCCTAGACTATCTTCACATCTTTGCCCAAAATCCCCAATAGAAACTCTGAAACCTCATGTCCAGAATCCCTCCTGATACTCCAGGTCCTTCTATATGCTTTCCAAAACATACAAACAAGTGAAACCAGAACCTCTTACAGAAGGAATATCAGCACTCATAGAAACAGTCCTCCAACGACTCACCCACAAAGTGCCAGCTTTATCCAGGTCACCACCCTTGCCCCATAGATGTCACCTTCCTATACAACAACATCTTTCACAATGATGGCTTTCATTCCTGCCTCAAATATTTGCAAGACATGAACAACACTCAGATATCCAACCCAAACACATTGCTACACTCATCCATTTTATCCTCACCCACAGCAATTTTACATTCAGCAACACTTTGTTCAATCCATGGTGTGGAATAAAGTAAAAGGTTAGGGAATAGGGCTAGTCCCAGGGAGGTGTAGAAACAGGCAAACTATTACTAAATATCTTTTAAACTTTTATTAAAGGACTTCTACGTATAAATTATTATTTTATCAATTTTGTACATACGTAGGCACCAAATAATTATTAGAATGACTAATAAGCAAAATGCAATACAGTAAAGATAATTCCATGAGGTTTTTCTAAATTCCAATAGTTGTTAACAAGGGACCAGGGATTATTAACAGTTACATTTACATCAGTCTTACTTGTAAGACTAATCATTTATATAAAACTCTTAACACTACTAAACAATACCTCTAAACAATTTCAGATAACGATACTTACATTTACAGACACACAAACTACAAATAATAACAACAACATATTTGGTATACATTATGTTTGGTATACGTTACGCTCTACAGGAACTCATTAGGTTTGGTGAGCAGGAGGTGGCCCTTGGGTGATTAGTCCTCGGACCTGGCTCGTATTCTGCCTTCCAATGTTTATTCGGGATTCCTCAATTTGATATAGGAGGGGAAGCTGTTTTATAGAGAAAGCTTTTACGCACTTTTTGTGATAGGCTAGCAGACCCTGTCTGTTAGCCTAAGTGACAGGAGTAAGTGGGTGAGATGGTTTCCTGTTTTTCCCTGTCTGCCTTATCAGGCATGGCACAGCCAGCACAACCAGCACGAACTTTACATTAACTTCTCATGTCTAGTTTAGGTTCCTGTTCTTCGCTGATCTTTAAGTTACATAGTGTAAGGTTTTTCCATCAAGGGGAAGTTGACCTTTTGCTTGGTGGCAATACGCGCAAGGAGCCTGGCCAGCAAAGAGCCTGCTTTCACACATGGGAATTGCCATAGCGCACTATGCCTACATCTTTACAGGACACCCTGAGGAAAAACTTGTGGGCAAATGCACCAAGAAATCAATTATATTTTCATTTTCTGGACAGGTGATCTACACTCCCTTACAGATTTCCAACACAAGTTCAATCACCACCACCAATCCACCAACTCTTCATCAATTTTGTGGATAGCATGATAAACTTCAACTATGGAATTCTATAAACTATTACATATAAGAAACCCACAGATTACCACACCTACATTCACAGATCCAAACATACAAAAAAAAATCTGTTAACTACAGTCAGGCCTTCAAATATCTATTAACACACTTAAAACTACATTCATCAAACAAGGACACTCCACCAGAGAACTAGATTGCATCAGAGAATCATAGAATACTAGAACTGGAAGGGACCTCGAGAAGTCATCAAGTCCAGTCCCCTGCCCTCATGGCAGGACCAAGTACCATCTAGATCATCATTCTAACCTGCTCTTAAATATCTCCAGTGTTGGACATTCCACAACCTCCCTAAGCAAATAGAATCATAGAATACTAGAACTAGAATACATAGTCCCAAATACGCAAGGATAACCTGCTTCAATACAGGGGGAAACAACTCTCACCACACACCCCTTGTTTAAACCACCCTACACTGGGACCCATACAGGGTATCACAAAACGTTTTCAACCCATACTTAATGGGCACCACGTCCTTAAAGAAATCTTTCACAAGCTCCCTCTTCTGAAAATCTGGTCTTATATGTGAAAAGTAGCATACTAAATTCTAAAGAGATTGAGCACAATGTTATTACTATAGCATTATCACTGGAACAATTCCAATATCTATCCTATGTTTTTACATTCTGAGAAAAAATAGTGAATGGACATCTCAGTAAATTTATACTGTACAGTCCCTATTCATGTTAAGGTAGGGAAAAAATTATCTCCCTTTTAAATCTCTTACCTTTCACTCATTTGATGTTTTACTGAATTAGCATTTGGGGACAAGATAGAGTGACTTTCCACTACACGATTAGAAAAAGAATATACACTAGCATCAGACCATTATCATCACTAACAGCTACAAAGCTAGATAAATAGCAAGATAGTTTTCTGATCCCAATATAAACTTAAAAAATTCAGCCTGTGAGTATTCAGCTGAAAATTGTTATCAGGCAATCAAAGTATAGAAAAAAATAAGCCAAGCTAACAAAACGAATTAACTTTTCTCTGTATTTTATCTGTAGATGAAACAGTCTTTCTGTTGGTATATCCTTAATTCCAGCTGGTCAATTATTGCACCCCTCCTAAGGACAGACCAAATGCCATCAAATTACTAGCGAGATGTTCTCTGATGGAAACTGTCCTAGAATACTATGTCAATCACACAAAAGAGGCATATGGATTAGTTTGATCTTCTTCTTCAATGATATATCATGGGATACAATTTCACACTACAAACATTCTGACTTAAAATTCCACAAAACAACAAAAACATCTAGTGAATATTCTGCAGACAGCAGATGGCCCAGCCTTTACTAAATCCTAAATGGAAATAAACTAGCCTAGCAAGAAAAAGAAATATATTAATACAGTCTTCCAATTTAAAATGTACTCCATTTTCCACCACCCTCTTCTTAAATAAACAGATCTATTGGTAGGGTGTCTGCAGGTTTTCTATACCACACTAGAAGCATTATGGGGAGAAAAGATGAAAAATCTAACAATATGTACAGTAAAACAAATTCAAACTAAACCAACTGTAAGAGATTAGGTAATTTTTGCTTTTTCAGCAATCGTTCCAAAGATTTTTTTTACATTAAAATATACACAAACTTTATTTACCTGGAAAATAAAAGCCTGTAATGTCTGATCTTGCAATCACCTTTTGGCCTTTGAGAGTCTCAAACACTTTTCCTTTCAGTCTTTTCTTAGACTGTGCCTTTACATTCTCTTCTGTACATTTCTGTAATAGGGAAGATGAAAAGATATTATTTATATTGATAACCCAATTAGCACACCTTTATCTTTTTTAATGAATTAAACATTTGTGTAATTTCATGCTATGGATTAGATGTATTAAATATTGTTGATAATCCACTATAAGTACCAAATGTCCTCAGTGAATATGATAAACTACATGATAGGTATTGTTGCCAGCACTTTCCATCATTAAGCCAAACTAGACCTTTTTAGAAGCTTCAGGAGGTACCTGAATTAGCCTGTACAGGATAAACTTAAAAAACAACATATGGTCTGGTAGCACTTTATAGACTAACAAAACATGTAGATGGTATCATGAACTTTTGTGGACACAGCTCATTTCTTCAGATGGTTTTTTTAAATTTAGAGATTTTATTGTAAGATCCGGTTTTCATCTGCTTGGAACATTGCTAATTAATTATCCAGGCTAAAATTTTCCATGCTATGTGTCTGCCTCCAGATGAAGTATTTTGGAAAATCTCAACAAAAAACAGTTCACCTAAGACCAAGATAAGGGAAAAATGAAGGTTACTCCCCTGTCCAAACGTCTTTGAGAAGGACTTTTTACCCGGGGATTTTAGAACCCAAAGCAATAGGCAGTCTTAGGAACAAATTAATGGGAACACAACAATTTTTGTTTGATAAATGATTAATACAAGTATGTGTGCTTTTATTTAAAACTATAATTTATTAGATATTAAGCATGTATAGGTTTAGAATATTTAGATACAGTTACTTACAGTTTGGGATGGTTCTGAGTAATTATAAAGGGATTTTGAAGAAGGAGGGAATTAGCCTATAGGGAGATTAAGTGTTTCCTTAATAAAAAAAAAAAAAGGCAAATTTTTGCAGACTGCTTTGAGGTATTTATTTGTATTTAATTTTACTGTTAATTTTAATAAAATATATAATGTATGGAGACTTTAGTGGGGTAATATAATAATTGCATTTGGGTTTTTAATTTTTAAAATTTTAATACATCTGTTATTTTAAAATATTTGTAATATTTTAGCTATACTATGTTAGGGATATTTTAAATTAATATTAATTATATGTTTTGTTTTTATTAGTAAACTACAAATGTGCCACTATTTTAATCTTGTTTTACAAAGGCTTAAGATTATATTTTTAACTATGGTTTCTAGTTAGCAATGTCTGTACATACAAAATGGCTGCCTGTAGTATAGTTAAGTTCTGCCTTGCTGTGGGGATGATGGGTACCTGCAGCTGTTCCAGTGTTTCAAGCAAGGGACCATTCAGGGACTGCCCAGAAGAGTCCAAGGGAAAAGAAACCATTCTTCTCATCTTTATAATGAGAAGGATACAAGCAGAGATGTACCTTTGTCTCACCCCTCCTCCTAAGGCTGTGACTCCCATGAATCACAGCCACTGTTCCTTTCTGTTCTCTCAATATGTCTCTGAGAGCACCACTTTGTCTCTTACATTCCCCATGATCTGCCTGGGTCTTATCCCGGGAATTGTTTAGTAAGGCTCTAACAGAAGATTCACTCTCAATTTTTTGTTGTTTTAATCCAGACACATCCTGCTCCAGGCTGTTACCCTCTTGCTCACTGTCATACCCCTGCTTATATAGTGTCATAGTCCGAGCTGCATTTTTCTTTGTCTTTCTTAATTTTTTTTGAAACTTTGTTATTTTTGCCTTTAACTGCTTTCTCACTACCATCTGCCTACAGAGCTGCAGGAACGCTCTGGGACAAGTAAAGCTCCCAGGTGTCCAAAAAACCACTATCATGCTCCTGCATGAATCTGCTAAGCTGTTATCCAAATGCATTTCCTCCTTTTCTTTCTTTCCAGATGTTCCCTGTACTTCTCATATATCCTTTTACTCAACCAGGCTTTACAGCCCGAGGCCTGAACTCAACAATAAAATATGACTAGAAATCAACTCACACTTTACAGCCTGGAAAACTGTAGATTGGAACACTGTTTCACTGTCTCCACCCCTCACTTATTGCAAAACAAACCACCTATATTAATCATTCCCTTCCTTTTTACCACTCCTAGCAACTGGCTCACCAGATCTGTTACCAAGGTTATTAGAACCCCAAAACAGTGGTAATTTAATTCTTTTATTTTAGGTAGTATTAGGAATAATTAATTGGGGCAATTTCTGACTGATAAATGATTAATACAAGTAATTTAATTTGTGCTCTTATTTAAAACTACAATTTAGTAGATACTAAGCACAAACATGAGCAATATGTTTAGGACATTTTAGATTCAGTTATCCACAGTCTGAAATGGTTTTGAGCAAGTCCAGGGGCCCTTTTTTTCATCCCAGTGGATGGGGAGATTCGGTGTCAGTTCTTTTCCCAAAGAAAAGCTCCCTTGGATTGCTTCAAGGTATTTACTTTTACCTGTTTTTAACAGTTAACAAAACACATAACCTAAAATGACTTTTAGTGGGTTAACATAATAACCTTTATTGATTTACTAATTTTTTTAATTTTTAAAACATTATTTATCATTTTAAAAACATTTTAGTGTGTTAGCTATAACTATACATTAGGAAAACCTAAAACAATGTTGCAATTTATCTTTTTAATAACTTTTTATTTTATTTTTAATTTTGATTAATAAATTGCAATATGCAGCTATTTGATCTTGTTTTACAAAGGCCTAGCCTCATTCCTAGTTATGTGATATTTGGTTTTGACCTAGCAATGACTGAACATACAGAATTGCTGACTGCAATACTCTCAAGTTCTGGGGTACACACAGGAATGTCAAATTCCAGGGTAACAGACTCTGCATATTCACAGCCCCCTTTACAGAATATTGAATGTTTTAAGGTGCAGATATAAAAGGGGCATAAAGTTCCAGCTTCCCCTGTAATGTCAGAGGGTATGTCTACACTACCCTCCTAGTTCGAACTAGGAGGGTAATGTATGCATACCGCACTTGCTAATGAAGCCCGGGATTTGAATTTCCCGGGCTTCATTAGCATAAGCGG